TAAATAAATAAATAAATAATTTTATTTACTGGCAGTTTTGCATTTAATTTGTCTTTAAGGTTATACTGTGGCTAGAATTAAGCTTGGAGACTACCATTTCTATGGATTTGGCACTGATGTGGACTACGAGACTGCCTTTATTCATTATCGTCTGGCTTCTGAGCAGCAGCATAGTGCCCAAGCCATGTTTAACCTGGGGTATATGCATGAAAAGGGACTAGGCATCAAACAGGTGAGTGGGCATCCAAATTGATGTTTGAGTAATATGAGGAGAAATGCCTACATGTGTATAAAAAACGGAATTTCTTTGGCAGTCCATCAGACTTCAGGCCAGTAGGTTAAGAAGCTGATTTCTAGTATTTCAGAAGACTGTGCCTCCATCTCTGGTTTTTAGGACACATTAGTATTCTCGCTGTTGTACTGGGATATGAAGTTACAACTAGGTTCATGACATGAAGGTGTAGCACTGCTTATGTTTCAGAAATGTTTCCACCTTTAGCCAGTTCCACTATTTTGAATTATTTTGAAATGGATTCAGATCTTTTCTACTGATGATCTTATTTCTGACTCCTTCATCTTCCTAATGAAGTCCAATGTTCTCTAGACCTTTGGTGCTAAGTTTTTGCCTATATGCCTCCAAAAGGATTTTGAGAAACTATATACTACTTACCTACTGTCCTACTTTGAGTCTCCATTGCTGTGACAAAATACTCTGACCATTACCAACTTAGGGAGGAAGGGGTTTATTCAGCTTACATCTCCCAGGACACAGTTCATCACTGAGGGAGCCCAAGGTAGGAACTCAGGGCAGGAACCTGGAGGCAGGAGCTGGAGCACAGGCCATGGAGGAACGCTGCTTACTGGCTTGCTCCCTGGCCCCTGCTCAGCCTGCTTTATTATACAACACAGGCCTGCCTGCCCAGGGGTGGCACCACCCACAATGGGCTGGACCCTCCCACATGACTCAACATATCTGTGAAGATGCCCCACAGATATGACCACAGCCAGTCCAATGGAGGCAGTTCCCCAATTGGGGCACCCTCAACCCCCATGTGTCAGGTTGACACCAAAGCTGTCCAGCACAATTGACCCCTTGTCACCTTGACACACAAACACATTACCTTTCCAGTTCTTGTCCCCAAGATATGATGTTAACATTATTGTCACAGTACAACCTCAAAAGCCCCATAGTCCTTTAAAAAATCGAAACACTGAAATATCCATAGTCTCTTTGTAAAAAAAAAAAAAAAAAAAAGTCTCTTAACTGTGGGTGGGCTTCTATAAAATCCAAAGCAAGTACTGTCTTATTTCAAAGGGAAGAATCAGGTACGTCTAAGCAAAACCAAAGTCCAGCAAAGTAGCTCAAGGCTGGACATCTGGGATTCATGATCCTCTGGGCTCCAAAGGGTGCTGATAGCTCCCCTCCTCTGACTCTGCTGTCCACAGTACACACCATCTCACAGACCCAGGCCAGCTCCATTCTACACCTGATGCTGCTGTCCTTAGTGGTTGTCCCATGGTCCTGGTATCTCCAAAAAGCTGAGGTCTCCACTGAAACTAGGGCTGCACCTTCACCAATGGCCTCTTCTTGCCTCTTGGAGAGAGTCTGAGGCTTTGCACCCCATGACCCCTTCAATTCTGGGGTCTTCTCTGCAACTGAAGCTGCACTTTCATTTATGGCCTTTCCTGGCTTCAGAGTGCCAAGCCTCAGCTACTCTCTGTGACCTTTCAACACCAGAACCCTGCAGGGGTTCCTGCTTCCAACTTGAGATAGAGGCTCGGGTCCCCTCTTGACCACTGTGTGCGGGCCCCAAGAAAATACTTGCCAAAAGATTTCATCACAGTGATGCTGGTCTCTTGTTACTTAGAGCTGATTTTCAGCCTCAGCTAACCAGAACCCACAGATTCTCAATTCAAAATATCACACAAACAGCCCTGATAGTCTCTGCTTCCCTTTGAAGCTTCACAAGCCAGGCCTCCATTATTCACAACTCTTTCAGCATAACTGTTCCAAGCTCCACAGCAACAAACTCTAAGCACTCAATGACTTTTCCAGGCCAAAGTTCTGAACACTTCCACCATCCTCCAACATCAGGTCTGTCACAGCAATACCCCACTCTCTGGTACCAATTTCTTCCCTAGTTTGTTTCTCCATTGCTGTGACAAAATACTCTGACCACTACCAACTTAGGGAGGAAAGGGTTTATTCAGCTTACATCTCCCAGGTCACAGCTCATTTCTGAGGGAGCCCAAAGTAAGAACTCAGGGCAGGAACCTGGAGGCAGGAGGTGGAGCACAGGCCATGGAGTAACACTGCTTTCTGGCTTGCTCCCCTGATCCATGCTCAGCCTGCTTTCTTATGCAACACAGGCCTACCTGCCCATGGTTGGCACCACCCACAGTGGACTGGACCCTCCCACATTACTCAGCAATCAACCCACATCACTCAACAATCAAGAAAATACCCCACAGACATTGCCACAGGCCAGTCCAGTGGAGGCAATTCCCCAATTGAGGTGCCCTCAACCCAGGTGTGTCAAGTTTACACTAAAACTATCCAGCACACCTACTTTTAACATTTAAATTTTTCTTAGGCTTCAAAGGGCCTAAAATAAGCTATTTTAAATAGTAACACTTTTAAAATAAAATTATTAAATTTCTCTTATAATATGCAATCCAATCTAAACAGAATAATTTGATGTCCTCTATTCTTTAAATATAAATGTAAGTTCTTTAATTAATTAATATCTTGATTTTTTTCCCCTAAATTTTATATTGTCAGTGATAGCTTCTACATAAAGAATTATATACTAATGTTCTGTCTTTAATGCTTAAGTCTTTAACTGGTCATTTTTTTATGCTTACTGCCAACAAAAAGTATATCAATTTTTTAAAAATTTTTATTGAGCTTTTGTACATCTCATACAACAGTTCTTAATCAAATTCAGACCACCCCTGCAATCCATACCCCTTAACCCCCCCACCAGACCTCATGTATTCCTCCATACATGTTAAGTCCTGTCTAGTCAAGTATTTGTACCCAGATGTCCTTCAGTGCAAATTCATCCACTGGAGTATAGTGAGCCTATCTAGAGATCAATAGTATGTAAGCCATACTCTTCCCCTACCCAGTAGTAATCAGTCTCCAATAGTTCCTGTTCTAGGGCTGGCCCACCACCCAGTTCTCTTGCTCCACTCTGGGCCCTTATCTGATTGAGTTGGCATGGGTTGATTGACACCATTGCCACAAGTTCACATGTACAAATTTCCAGTGGCCTGAAAGCCTCTGCTTCCCTGTGTTCATGAACCAGCCCTGGCCCCTGGCTCTTAAAATCTTTCCACCCCTCTTCTGCAATGGTCACTGAGCCATAGGTGGGTGAGGTTTAATATAGGAGTCCTAGACAGGGTCACACACTCTTCAGTCTCCTATTCTTTAAAACTTGGCCAGTTGTGGCCTTCTGTGTGCATCGCACTCTGTTGTATAAGGAAACTTTACTGGTGAAAGTAGAGGGATGCACTAGTTTTCTCTCCACCTCTTGTTTTGCTGTGTTCCATGCTCCTAGGTGTAAAGGTTCGACTGTAGCTGTGTCACATAGGACTGGGCATCTCTCAGACATATATTCTCTGTGTCTGACCAGTTGTGCAGTTCTGCAGTAGTCTCCATCTGTTGCAAAAAGAAGCTTCTTTGATGAGTGGCATACGGTACACTTGTCTGTAAATATAAGGATCCATATTTAGCATATGGTAAGAAATTTCATTTGTCTAGAGATATGAAAGAGAGTTTTCTCTAGGCTCTCTGACCTCTCCAGCCATGTGTATTTGGCTGAATTTACAGTGCCACCCATAGTTCATTCCCATTGAGGGTTTTAAGTCCAACTAGATCCCCCCCCCCCCCCCCCAGATAACAGTGCCACTACTGCACCTATAGAGGTAGTTTGCTGTGCTGGTCATTATGGTTATTAGGCTGTCAGACTGTGTTGGACCATTGAGTGATTTTTTTTTCCCTTTGAAGTTTGCATATTATCATCTAACATTATGAGGGCTAAACTTCAGGTAGAAGGCTTTTAGGTCATTTCCTGTGCCATCGCTCCAAGCCCTGGGTCTGAAGTATGCCCTGTCTTCAGCAGTAGGGTTTTGGGAGATAATCACAAGCTCTGACAATAGCCTGAGTTATTTTAGGAGTCTCTTGGACCACTCTGACCAACCACTCAAAGGGAGGTCGGATGGGAGAAAGAAAGAGTAGAGATGAATGGATCTTGGAGGGCTAGGGAACCCAGAGGGACATGTGGTGCCCCCCAAACCTCCTGAGAAATGCACATACAGTGTCTGAACGTTAGTGCGTATGTACACCTGGGAGCCGTATGGCAAGAAACACTGTCAATTTAATTTTACTTCCCATTATATAAATGTTAAAGAAACTTCATAACATATTACTTACTGTGGGCTGGTTATTAATACTTTGTCAACCAATTCAGTAAAATTAAATTTTTATTTTTGTGTTATTAAATGTTTTAGGAAAATGAAGTTTTTTAGTTAGTTTATTATTAAGGGCATTTTGCACTAATTCTATTTTTCATTTTATTATAAACATGACTGGACTCTTGTTCACATAAATAAGTACATAGAGTTTTAACAGTGTCACTAAATTCTTTAAGCTACTTTAGAGTGAAAATCAGAATGATCTGTCATTTAAAATTGTTAAGTGTGATATGGTGGCACACACCAGTAATCCCAGCACTCAGGAGGCTCAGGCAGGAGGATCGCAAGTTCTCTGACATCTTGGGCTACATAGAAAGAACCTGTCTCCAAAAAAGTTAGTTTTAGAGCTCTATCTGCTGATAACTTGAAGGATTTGCCTTCATATCTGGGGCCATTCACTTCTCAGTTCCTGGGAAGAGTACAGAAAAGATTTACAAGGCTTGTGAAGTGACTATTAATTATACCCCTTACTCTGTTTCTTAGGGGTATTCGTTAACCTAATGTGCTCAGAGATTGAAGGATTCCTGTTAATTTCATTTTGTTAATGCACCATTTTTTGACAAAGTACTTTTTAAAGTTATCTTAACATTGAGACTATTAATTATGATTAGATGCTTAAATGTAGTTTACCAAAACTCTAGAACTGCAGACAGTGCATTCAATTTCGGGAAGATCTCTGCCATGTGACATATTTAGTAAAGCTTCTCTATTGGGCCCATTAGCCCAAACAGACTTAGTTTCTGTCATAAAGGCTGGCTTCAGTTTTTAATTCAAGTGACACTATAAAATAAAGCTCATCCATACATTATAAAGTGTAATGAATAACGAATACAACAAAAGGCATAATATTCAGGAAGCGAATGAGGGTTCAGCTCTTGAGGAAAAAGTAATCAGATACAAAAGTCAGAGTATCTCATATCATGACATATATTTACAAGTCGTAATCACTTTTTCCAATTTTTCCTACATTGTAAATGAAACATCCATATTGCTAAGAACTAATCAGTCCAGCTGGGCATGGTGGCACATGCCTATAATCCCAGCCCCTGGGATATGGAAACAGGATGAGGTCAAGGTCATTCTCAGCTACCTAGGGACTTCCAGACCAGTGTAGGCTACCTAAAGTATGAAGATTGGGAATTATTAAAAAAATGTAATTCAGGATATGATTTGATATGTTTTAATTATCCTATTGAATCATCCACAGAGCACAAAGTTTGTTAGCATATAAAGTTGGGTCCCAAATCCAACTTTGGTAATCAAAAAATGTTAGAATTATGTATTTTTTCAAATCAGATGCTAACCATACTCTGACCACTAATCAAAGATACTTTTCTTTTTAACTAATGACACAAGGGTAAGAATCAGGAATAACTGGAAGTCACTGCTGGTTATATAAGTGAGGGGTAATTTTTAGTGCTTACCCCTCCTTTCTCGTGTATCACGGAATTCTGTCCTAGAGCTTGGTATTCTTTGACAGTGGGGCATGGACGAAGTCAGAGATTTAAGTAAAAATTTTTCACAACTCCCCCTATCCCATGCTGCCATGTGTCTGAATTTTGAACCCTCTGTCCTGGTCTAGAATTAGTAATGACTTGGATCACCCTTTACAGGGACCTGTCTACATTAAGAAGCCCTGTGATGGTTTATGACCAACGGGCACAGGAGCCTTCTCCAAAACCAGCATTGCAGGGTGTTTCTGTGTGAGCTCTCTGAGGTTTGCCTACCCCCACCGTAACTGAGGAAGGGGTGGGTATGTGAGACTGATGCCACCCTTTGCAAAGGGGACAGGTTGCCATGCACATAACCTTGATCCCTGCTGTTTCTGTCTTAGAAAGACACATAGTAGAAATTGAGGAACCCCAAAATAGATTGCCTTACCATTCTCCATGCAAGAAGCAGTAGAAATTCCCGAGTGTGCCTACCCCGGTTTCAACTGAAACTGGAGTTACTTTACACTGATTGAAGTTTTACGTAGGAAGGATTAGCTTGGAACTTAGAGGTCATCCTTGGAAGTCTCCAGGTCAGCGTGTCCACACATCAAATCCTGTGTTACACTGGAGGAAATGAGCTAAACTTTCCAATTCCTGATTAAAATTTTTCAGAATTATCTAGTTAGGTAATTAAAGAAATTTTACCTGATTAAAGCTTGGGTCTTTCCTTTAGGTGAGGGAAATTAATTTTAAAATGAAAACTTAAAAGGTGAAACATTTTCCTGAAACATAAACTAAATATTTTTAAACCTATTTTGATAAATTATTTTTGCTTTGTTCCCTGCACTCTAGGATATTCACCTTGCAAAACGCTTTTATGACATGGCAGCTGAGGCCAGCCCTGATGCACAAGTACCTGTTTTCCTGGCACTCTGCAAATTGGGTGTCGTCTATTTCTTGCAGTACATACGGGAAGCAAATGTAAGTGATCTGTGTCTCTTCTACTTAAACTATGAAGTATGCCACCTTCTCAGGCCTGGAGGTTTGTACCTTAGAAGTTGAAAGACAGGGAGCGCTGCACTCTCAGTCTTAGTTCTACCGTTCTGCCCAGGGGAAGGGCACATGAGCTTACTGGGTAAGTTGAAGGTAGACAAGCAACCAGCATGGTTTTTAGGTATCATCTATGGTGTGCTTACCTAAACCATTTGTTAGTGCTGCAGGTATGTTCTGGTTTAGGGAAAACTGAGACTAACACATGACAGTTTGAAACAGTAGTTAATGAAATTAAATGATGCCTAGCAGTAACTCAAATCAATATCTGTAAGAGAACAAAGAGCAGGTGGAGACTAACCAAAGAACCTGCTGGTGCTTCTGATTCTCACAACAGTGAAACATAAATTAAAAACGCCACCAGACTTTTCCAGTCTAAAATAGCCTGAGTTTCTTAACTAAGCTAATAGAACCTAGAGAGGAGGTATGTTAGCTGCGCTCTTCAAAGCTGCCAGCTGTAGTTAACAACTTACATGCCAGTGCCCTTGGTTTCTGCCACTTATATTTTGCTCCAGTACCCGTAGTCTCTAATAATGGGTTTGCTGGTACAGCATTTTGCTCTGTAAACCCTGTGGTGTTCAGAGCCATCAGGGCTGTAAAAGGATGCTGTTTGAACCTTTCATGAATGTCTTTGAGAACAGATGGTACCCCCTTCATTAGAGTCAGACTCAAGGTTGAGCTTTCTCTCTGCACTGCAGATTTAAAAGCAGTCACTGCTGCTCTCACACAAACAGAAAAAACGGACTTCTGTCACTTTGGTACCTTAGCCCACACTATTGAGGCCCTCCACACACAGACCCCCAAGACCTGAGAGATAACAGACTGTCCTCCCAGTTGCTTACATGTGTGTATGTCAGTTGTCTATAGAGTTCCTTGGTAGCCTAGGCCAGAGTGTGCCGCACCTAAAAGGCTAACAGTGAGGGCTGCAGATAGAGCGAGGAGATAGACCAGTTTCCTAGTATATGAACGGCCCTAGGTTTGATCCTCAGCAGCACAGAGAGAGAGGGTGCCAACAGTGTGGCCATTCTCTGATTCTCTCAGGGCTGGTTCAGGCCCTTATCTCCCATAATGTTTGTCAGTGATTTAATGATAATATACCAGAGAGAGGATATCTTTGCTGGGTTTTTGTTTTTCTTTTTTTTTGGTGAAGCCATGAGTTTATTGTGTTACTTAAAGGAGTGTGTGTGAGGGTTGCTTACAGGAACATGGAAGACTGCAACACTGAAAAGCCCACCCCACCATGGCTGCAATCCTGGGGCTCTCTGTACAACTTGCAGCAGCTCAACATATCTGGGAATCTCCTCCTGGCAAATAAGCTCATTGGAATGTCTCCTCTAGGCCTTTGGGCTGAGCAGAGACTCCTCCCTCCGCAGTTGTTTACTGCTTCTGTAATATGAGCAATTCTATAATATTGGGCTTATGACACTTGGAAGTTTCGACTTTCCCAGACAGGTGATGTTTGTATTTCCTGAATCTCATGAGCCTCTCTCCTCCTTCTGGGAGGAAATATTTCAACTTGGAAGAAATTGCTGTACAACAAATTACTTTCTATTTTCATAGTACTTCAGTATTACTTTTTCTGTATAAGATTCTTTTGGCTATTTGAGGTGTTTGGTGAATTTTAGAATTTTTTTTCTACTGTGAAGAATATCATTGGGGTTTTGATGTGGATTACCTTGAGCCTGAATATCAATTTCCATAATGTAGCCGTTTTCCCGTGTTAACTGTGCTAATCCATGCAGATAGGGGGTCTTTTCATCTTCTGTTGTCTTCTTCATTTTCTGTCATCATTGTTTGGAAGTTTTCTTTGTAGAAGTTTACCTCCATTATTCCTAGGTATTTAAATTTTTATGAAGCCATGTGTGAATTGGATATTTTCCTTGATTTCTTTCTCAGCGATTTCTTTCTCAGCAAGTTTATTATTGGTATCTAGAAAGCTACTGATTTTTGTATCTGTTACTTTCCTAAAAGTGTTTACCAGTTCTGCAAGTTGTTTGCTGGTCTATTCTGTCTTTCAAGTGTAGGATCCTGCTGTCTGCAAGCAGGGATAATTTGCTGCACTTGATCCTTGTCAAAAGGCTGAGAAGTGATGTAAACAGGGATAATTTGACCTTTTCTGTTCCTTTTATTTATTTATTTATTTTTCCTCTTGGCATTTTGCTCTAGCTAAGACTTTGAACACTAACTCAATAAGAGAGGAGAGTCTTTTAGAAGACATGTTTTTAGTTTTTCCCTATTTAGCTTAATGTTGGCTATAGACTGTTATAGTTAATCTTTATTATGTTGAGGTTTGTTCCTTTCATTGCTGGTTTCTTTAGGGCTTTTTATAATAGAGTGGTGTTGGACTTTGTCAAATGCATTTTCTTGTATTGATTGAGATGATCTTAAGAGCTATGTCCTCAAAAGTCCATTTATGTGTTGATTTGCATGTGTTGAGCCAAACTTGCATTCTTAGAATGAAGCCAGTTTGGTTATGGTGTATGATTTCCATATGTTCTTCAGTTTGGTTTGCAAGAATTAAGTATTTTTGAGTGTGTGTTCATCAAAGAAATTGATCTATGGTTTTCTTCCTTCATTGTGTTCTTGTCTGGTTTGGTGTCATAGAATGGGTTTGCTTCATAGAATGGGTTGGGTAGGTTTCTTCTCTTTCTGTTTTACCTAGCGATTTGAGAAATATTGGTGTTAGCTCTTCTTTTTTTTAATTAAAAAAAACTTTATTGAGAATTTCATACATGCATATAAGGTGTTTTGATCAAATCCATTCCCACTCCCTCCCCTCCCATATCTCCCCATCACTTTCTTTCTTTCTTTCTTTTTAAATGGGGTTTTTCCTACTCTAGCAGTCCCCTCTCTTAAGAGGTCTCCCTAAAATCTTTTGAGGATTAGATACAAGCTCCCAAATACTTTCGACATTTTTGGCCTTTGGAACATAGTATGTTGCTAAGAGGCCCAAGGACATTTTGACTTTTAGCCAAAAAACTGGTTACTTTTCTTTGGAGTCTTTTTACCCTAACTGCCTAGCCAATTCCTACCTCCTATTCTTATACCATGCACTGAAGAGGTTACCCAAATAGCCAATAGGAAATTGGGACGCAGACTGCTCTGGCTTCTTCCATGCTGAACAGGGATGCAGGGTGAGGCAATTGGAGTACCCCTTTCAATGGGTCTATCTAAAAGACTCCCAAATTGCTTTTTGTGTGTGTGTGTGAAGGAGAAGTAAAGTCAAGAGTAATTAGCATTACAAGTTCTAGATAGGGAACTAGAAAGTCCATTGGAATTTCTTGACAAGGGCTTCCGAAATCATCCCTCTGTTGGGTTCTTCCTCGTTTTTCTTTTGTCTTCCAAGGCTGGACTCTAGAGTGATAGACTCAGGATTTGTTTTCAGGCACTTTGATAGCTGTTGTTTGATAGCTGTTGGGGTGGTTAGAATTAGTGCCAGTTCCCTCTCAAAGGCCTCTAGATAGGGGGAGAAAATAAATTTATCCATCATTTTAGAACAGTAGCTGGTTGTCTCCCTTAGCTACAGGTGGGCACTACAGTATTGCAGACCAAGATTTGAAGTCTTATATCTGAGCAGCACTTTCTGGCTAGGAACAAAATCATCAATGACAATAATTGTCTAAATAACTTTTTATATAGACTTAAGCCTAATGTCTGGGAAGTGTAATCCCTTGAACTCTTAAGAAATATACTGATGGCTTTAGTCTTTGGTTATACTTTCCTTTTGGGTGTTTAAGACCATACAGTTGGCCCAAATAAATCAATTTATTTTTATACCTAAGGTCGTTTGAGGTTCTGTTCCTCAGGGATCACCAGTTCCATCTATGTGACGATAAGTTAAAACTCAACCATGTCTGGCTTCACTTGGAAGCATGAATGAGATGCCTCCTCTGAGTTGACCCTTCTCTTTGTAGACTGGACGCTGGTTCATGTCCATCTCTTGGGGTCTCCATGTCCTCCCTGAACAAGAGGACAGGTGACTCACCACAGTTACAGGATATTTTGAGAAATAGAACATCCCAGACAATCTTATTCATCTTTATACCCACATCCCAAATGGCACCCTCCCATAGCCCCACCACCACCACCACTGGAGTCCATATACTCTGTTATCCCTGTTGCCATCCCCTGTTGTCAGTGCCCCCAGCAGTTCCCCAGTGCTAGTCTGTCCGCTGAGTCTAGTCAGCCTATTTGGAGTTCCTTGTTTTAGGAAGATCAGCTCTTCTTCATCTAGCAGCAATCAGTTGCCAGCATTCCTCTAGATAAGATTGGCGTCTGCTGTTCATTTTCCCAGTTCTATGCTGGGTTACTGGCTAGGAGTCTCTTAGGCCACCCTAGCCAATAACTCAAGGGAAGGTATCTCCTGTCTGGCATTGTTTCTTGTTATGTTTCTGGTTTTTTAATGCAGAAAGACCCAAACAAAAAAATGAAAGAATGATGAGCTAAAGGAGACTAAGTATTGGTGATAAGAAAGTCAAATGTAGCCAGGCGTGGTGGCACACACCACCAGGCCAGTTGGGGCTACAGTGAGACCCTGTCTCAAAAAGACCAAAAAGAAAAAAAGTCGAATGTGTGGTCTCCCAGGGAGCATGATAGTTTACTATAGTTTTGTTCTAGAAAACTTCAGCACCCATATCTACAAGTATATGAGAGGGCTTTAGTCATAATTTTGTGTTTTGTGTTTTGGTGAGAGTCAGAAAATCTCAGGTTTATCCTCATAAAACAGAATCTTAGACTAAAATGTGTAAGTTCTAATTCATGTGTTTAAAATAGTGTGCATTTTAGTCAAAACCAACTAAAAGGCATCAGTCACTCCACTATTGAGCACCTGAGTTGCTGTGGTGTTCAGTTACATGGAGAAGTGGTAGAGTAGCTGCTGGTCCTTAGAAGCACCGTTCAGCAGGCATACTGTCCATGGCACACTTAAGAGCTGTACTGGTATTCGAACTTTCCCCTTCTTCCTTTCTTGTCCCAGTGTTCCCTTCAAATATTTTCTGTTAGAAATAGTTGGAAGTTGGTGCATTAGATTACTGATGGGAAGAACTATTAGACATGTAGTCAGCTGTTAGGAAACAGTAGCTCAGTTCCTGAGACACATCCCTGTGAGCTTCAGTTGAAGACTTTAAACCCATTTTTAAAAATCGTTGCAGAATTTCCCAGTAAACAGTTCTTAACAGTTCTGTGTTTATCACTAATTGTGATGTAATTCCTTTCAGAGTTTTTTCCCTGACATGAGGTGCTAATGCTTTCTATGTGTTCTTCTCATTAAGATTAGAGATCTATTCACCCAACTGGATATGGACCAGCTTTTGGGACCTGAGTGGGACCTTTACCTCATGACCATCATCGCACTGCTGTTGGGCACAGTCATAGCTTACAGGCAGAGGCAGCACCAGGACATGCCTGTCCCCAGGCCTCCAGGGCCACGGCCAGCTCCTCCCCAGCAGGAAGGACCACCAGAGCAGCAGCCACCACAGTAGTAGCCACCTGGCCAGCTGGGTCCATGACCACTAAGGAACTCGGTTGCTGAGAACACTTGGATTTGATGAAGGACTGTGGATGGTGGCCAGCTCCTGGAAGAGGCTCCAGGAAGCATTGAATTCCTAAAGCTGCTTAGAATCTGATGCCTTTATTTTCAGGGACAAGTAACTGTTACCTAAGCTAAGTTGAATGTTTGTTTCAGTGCCATGTGGAATAACAGCTCTCAGTGGCTTTCCCTCCTTTTTTCTTTCCTTCCTTCCTTCTTTCCTTCTCCCTTCCTTCCTTCCTCCTTCCCTTTTTTCTGGAAGCATATAGGAGACACTCTGATATGTGCTATTCCCAACTGTCTTTCTTGGGTCCTTTTCATCTTTTCATTGCCCACAAGTTCTCCTATCAGCTGTCTTTAACATCCCGTGCATTGACACTAAAAACTGACCAAATTGGAAAAACCTAGTTAACTGCAAGTTTAACCCTCAACATGCTTAAGTCTGAAAATAGAACTTGCTTTTTACGTTTCAGAAAAAAAAAAAAGATGTCTACGAAGTGTTTTGGAACTGCAATAACTGAACAAATTTAGCAGTCTACATGCATTTTTTATTTTAAAAGCAATTGTCTCAAGGTCTCTTAAATTGGTGACTGTGACACTTCATACCATACTTCTTCAAAGACTGAAAGGCTTTGTTAAAGAATTCTGTGTGAACTTCACTTCCTTGTAATGGAATAGAAACAAAACTTGATGGACTGACATCTTGCACTAACATAAGAATTCGCCCCCACCTACTCATTGTAATTTGCCTGTTTGCGTATACAGAGTCTTGATCCAGAAGCCAGGGGATGGACTAAATGGAGAAAGAGAAAACAGTCTTAAAAGACTTTGGAGGGATCATAGAGACACTTTCCCAAAAGCTGAAACACTTGGTTCCCAGGTTTTATTGTACTTTGCGTTTCTTACTGCACAGAGAACAAATAACCTTCCTGAACTCTTCAAATATGAAATACTGTTGTCCGGACATGGGAGGCAGTGACAACTCTTAGAATACTAAAACTCAGAGAGTTGAGGATGGATTACACCCTGTGATTGGCAGGAGCCAGTGTCTGTGTGCACCACTCTGTGTTCCGGTAGCTTTTTCTTTCTGACAGTTTTATGTGGCCATAGCTGTCACATTCACCACCATTCTGTTGTTAATGTTAGAAAATTCAAGACTATTACACTTGAGAATTTCCTGCTTAAATAGATGAAAAGACCAGCAGTTGAGAACTTTACATAATCACCCAAATGAAAGAATTCAAACCTGAACTGAACTTTTATTGTTTGCAATCATCCAGTGGTAGTGTTCACCAGCCTGTATCCAGTCAGTGAGTGGACAACAGCCTATTTATACTCACTTTACACTTTTCTTCCATAAGCCATCATCTGCCAGGAAACTTAGGTTTTTTACTTGTAGAGTTGTAATGCTTTGGGTTTTAATGTTGGGATTGTAATTAGAATTAGATTTAATTAATCTAAAATGAATATGAAGGTTTAAGTGTGAAGTTGTGTACTTTTGTGTGTGTGCTTACAGTATTATGGGAAACTTGGTAAGCAAACTTTCCTCCCAGACAATTCACCTCCCAGTTTGAAGAGGTGGTCATGGAGAGGACCATGCATATAAAAGTGTAGCTTTGAGAGGTAGCAGATATTCCTCTCAAAAATGTAAGGTTGCTTTGGGAGCACATGTAAATATTAAAGCTTGTTCTGTGTCTTAGAGTGCGGGTGGTACAGTAAGTTGGTGCCTTTGCTGCTGACACTGCCCCAACCCTGCCCCCGGCAGAGTAAGTATAATCCATGGTAGCAGCCGCTCTCTGTTTAGAAGACACTGTTTTAATTTATTTAGAAATTAACAGGAACTGGGTGCATGGCATGTCCCAGATACTTGAGGGACTGAAGCAGAAGATGACTTTAGCCCCAGAGCCCAAGACCAGCCCAGGCAACTCAATGAGACCCAGTCTCTAAAAAAACAAATAAAAAGTTGGAAACCTAAGATGACTATGACTTCTATGTTTTCCCTCTGCCGTCCACCTGAAACCTCCTTGGGCGGCATTTTTACATATGTCTCTTCTTCCCGCGTGGAGTACTTGGAGAAAATAATTTTTAAAATAACACACACTGCCTAAGGCTAGATGGGAAAGTGTGTCATTCTCTGTGTAGCAAGCTTCCTGTCACCTTGCCCCTTGCTGTCCTTTCCATTAGTGACACCGCAGGTGTCTTTTTCGTGGTTTGTTCCCACCCTCTATTCTCACCCTGGGTCCTTCACTACCAGAAATCTGAACCGTATGTTTTATTAAACAATTCAGTTCTTAACGGTTTCTTTCAAAGACCATCTCAAGATATTTTGTTCCTTTTTTCCTACTGTTCAAGGGACATGGTACCCAAGCAAATAGAAATTGGGTTTGGTATTTCTCTTTAAAAATAATGCACAATACTTACCTAATCAAATGGCATCCATTTGAATAAAATGGCAATAAAGCTAGTTAATGTCAGTGACATTAAGCCAACTCCGGGATTCGGGAGTTTTAGCATTAGGACTAGATGTACCAGGTGGAGCGTGGCTGTCTTGCTCCCTGTGGCCCGCTCTGCTGCTGCCCTTGGTGGTCTGGCTTGCAACCTGCCAAGCCGGACAGCGGCACTCTATTTGGCTGCTGTTGTCTTGCGCACCTGCCTGGTTGGTTATCCAACTATTTCAGAGTCTTGAGACCACTCATTTCTGTCATATTTTACAAAGGTGGCATTGGTAGGGTTTTGTGTTTGAAGTTTTTGTTTCTGTTTTGTGGGTTCTCTTGGTTACTAGCTGATGGCACACACACACACACACACACACACACACACACACAAAAAAAAAAAAACAAAAAAAACAAAAACCCTAAATCAAAGACTACTTTTTCAAATCAAAATTCATTAACACTCAAACCAGATTCATGTCAAAGTACAAGTCCTTAGTCTTGATATCTTGAAGCTGTGCCACCCTTCTGCACAGAAGGTTAATTTCTGAGCATTTTCCACTAAACTCTCTTGTTCCTGTACCGTCGGGAAGCATAAGAAACCTCTTCTTCCAGCAATATGGTGATTGAGTGCTCTGCGTGTAGAATTTGGGGTTTTGTTCTGCTGGTTGCTTGGTTTTTTTCCTCTCTTCTCTGTTCCCCTGTTCAGTGTTTGGGAAGTAGGCATGGAGGCCTCCCAATGAAAACCTCAGCTCTTCATGTGTGTACCACGTGTACAAGTGTCCAGTTGCATCTGCAAAACCTTCACAGAGGTTTGGACTAGCATTTTACATGTACATTTCATAACAGTGCAGCCTGTGTTTCCTTCAGTGAGAGCAGGATGTATGTAAGAAATACTCAGCAAAAGAAAACCTTTCCAAAATGTTTTCATCAGTTACTGCTCAAATATGAGTGAAAACGTAAATTTTCTGTGCACCGTATTGTCTGGAGCATATTGTCTGGTTTTTAAGTGGGCTGTGTGCTTTGAAGAGAAGCTGAATGAACCCATCCACTTGGTATTTCAAGAAAATTTAAAATAACACCAAATAGCAATGATTTGTATCTTAAAGAGACCATTTATACAAATAAAAATCTGATTTTGTATACATAAGAAGGGTCCTTTGGTTATGTGCAGGGGATCATTCAGCTCTGCTGTTTTTACTATTTATCGACAAGCAATCTGACACTATAACTCCTTTATTTAAAAACAATGTTATATGATCAAAGTGTGACCACTATAAATATTTAGGAGGGGAAGTTTTAAAAGACCATAACCTGGCATTGTGAAGGAACACCACAGTAAACTTTTTTGTAAATTTATTTTGTATTTAATGAAATGCAGTATAAAGGCTGGTGAAATGTATTATAATTGTGTAAACAAATCCTGTTAATAGAGAGATGTACAGATTCGTTTTGTACTGTATCTTGAATCTTATGAAATAAAGATCCCACCTCTGGTTAATGTGTTTGCTGTAGTGAACCACGCCCAAACCCCCTTTCATTCGGACTCCTGCTTTAACCTGAAAGGTTCTACTGTTTAATGAACCTTTTTGTTGAAAATTCAGAAACTACTAGAATGCATTCATCTGGGGAAATTTGAGTCCATATTTTCACCTTTAATTTCTGTAATTCAGATTCCTATAAATACTGCCTTGGGGAGAATATCAATTTGCTAAGATATGTTGCATTAGTGAAATCTCTGATGTTTGATCAGAATCTGCCTGAGATGCATATAGTAAGCAGGATTCACCTCAATGTAGCCTGATTAAATATATCAGAGCATATCTGTGCACACTGGTCCCAAAAGGTTTAAGGCAGCTTACAGAGACACATAAATGCAACACAATACAACCTCTTTACACAAGATCTCACTAAAAGGGGAAAAAGAAAACAGCAGTAGTAAGCTAGGAGTAAGGTTTGTACACAATATCCAGGTTTGGGGCTGGGGCCAGTGGGAGAGGACTTGCCAACAAAGCATGGGAAGCCCTGGGATCCATCCTCGGTAGGGACAAAGCTGCAAGTGGGCTACATACAGATTTATTCTTCCCCCACTCCCTAGCAGCCAACTGGAACAGGTGATGAAAGCAAAGTGTTCCAGCTTAGCAACATCAGATTCCTGAATGAGATGGCTGAATAATGCAGATTGCCACAGGTGCCATCTTGAATTTCAATGTTACCCCATGGAACGCAGCCACCCCAGGTGACCTTAGCAAAAGTAAAAGTGATGAGGGTCACGAGAGTTGCAACATCAGCTATTTGGTAGGTCCATTAACTTCCCGGAGGATAGTAGTTGACATAGGATATACCAGCTTTGAAATTTGCTTATACTAGGCTGTGGGGCTCACCATTTATCCATCTGGATTTTCCCCAGTCCTCTTCCATGGCCTTGCCCACTTGTATCCTTTAAAAGCAAAAGTAAAAGTGATGAGGGTCACGAGAGTTGCAACATCAGCTATTTGGTAGGTCCATTAACTTCCCGGAGGATAGTAGTTGACATAGGATATACCAGCTTTGAAATTTGCTTATACTAGGCTGTGGGGCTCACCATTTATCCATCTGGATTTTCCCCAGTCCTCTTCCATGGCCTTGCCCACTTGTATCCTTTAAATGCATAATTTTAAAATGAGGCATGGTAAAATATA